ATTAATGTTTATTTTGATTAGATAGTTTTGTTTCATTAATTACAAGAATAATTTAATTGAAATTTTTCAATTTCAAGCATGATTAATATGCGCGATAAACTTTTTTTAAATTGTGTAAATTAATTTTTAATATTTAAAAACAGAGGGAATATTATAATAGTTTCGCATGGCTCTTTGTCACATCTTGCAAGGCACGATTAAGCTAAATTAATATAAACCCATTGGCTAAACTTTTCTTGCTTTAATAATAGCAATGTATTGATTAAATAATGATAATCTACAAAAAGGATAATTTGAAGGGAGAATGACAGATAGGTCATAAAGTAATCAATTAATTTAAATTAAATTCAGTCTAATTTTAAAGTATTGAGTTTCAAAAATTTATGAATTTAACTCTTAATTTTGCAACATTATTGTTATAAATTTACAACTTATATCTAAATTTTAACAGAAAAAATAAATTTATTTATCATTCAATCATGTTAAAATTTTAAAAAAGAATTATAAATTTATCATAATAAAAATTATAAGATTGAAAAACAAACTTATAAGTTTTTAAAATTTAAAATTGATTAGAATTTAGTTTAAAGTACTTAATTGCTTTGAGATCCATATGTTATTCTCCATTGTTTGCGTGAGTTCATGTTCATATGTGAAAGTGGGAGGCTTAGATCCTCGTCTCTGATCATTCGTATTTCCCTATGCACATTGCAGGAAGGACAGGCTCCAAGTGTCAACGCTAAACCCACCTTGGTGAGATTCTTCATATCAATTAAAGAACTAAAGAAGTATCCACGTCAGCCTTGACAGTAAACCGTGCGGGAAGAAACACGCCCGGGCAAACCTCCTGGGGATGGATTCTCTCCTTTTATTTTTCATTCTTCTCTCGTTCTACCTATTATATTAAAATTTAAACGGTTCTAATTTAATTTCTTATAAAATTACTATTAAAATATTAAATTATAAAACATATATAAATAATAAATTTAAACTACTAAAATTTAATAAAAAATTTAAAAATATAATAAAAGTAAAATAAAATAAATATTTTGAAAGAGATCAATGTGAATTATTTTAAATTTTGATCTAATAGTTAGAAATTAAGAAAAAGAGGAGAAGAGGGTGGGAAGGAAGAGGAGTAAATCATTTCCTAAGAGAATCTATCCTTGTCGATCTGGCTTTCATCTCTTACCGCATACTCCCCCTCCGTTTTTATTTATAAATCACATTTTAAAAAGTTCATTTGATTTTATTTATAAATTACGGTGTAATTTTTTAAATAATATTTAAAATATATTTTTAAAATCACCTTTATGAGAGAAAAAAGTAATATGACATCACTTTTATTTCATACAAAGATATATTTAAAATTCTATGTACTTTTATTTTTTATACTTTTTTTATTGCTGTTAATAAAATTTGTAAAAATGACTTAGGAAGAGAATCTGAGAGTATATATTTTGTGTCTTGGTGCTTTTAATGCCAATATTAATTCCATCCTAATGACATGCGCTCTTTCAATTTTGGAATCGAGAATTGAGACGGAGTTGGGTCTTTTTTAAAATAAATTGTTCTGTTAATTTAAAATATAAAACTTATTAAAATAATACCTCTCATTAAGTGTGTAAGTATTAATAAACTTAGTATATACATTGCTTGATGAATGTTATGTATTTTATATTTATTTTTTAGCACCAGTGGGTAATAAAAAAAATACAGAACATTAATTAAGCTCCTGAGACTGTATTTTGAATATGCTATAGGTAAATAGTTAGTTGATAAGATATCGTATAAAAAAAATAGTTGATAGGATAATCAATATTTGATATTCGATATTTAACATAAAATTTTTTGCTCATGGTGCCTAATTAACTTTCCCCGGCTAATATTTCCCGGGAGGGGTGGGGTCAAGAGAAAGAAAAGATCACATTCCACAGTGATGACTCTTTTTTTGGCAACGCATCGATGGAGTAGGCCCAATTAAGACCGCCCGTGAGGCTGAGAGATTCCTTGGCTCTTTCTTAGAGGCACAGTGCTTACAAAACTATTGCTTTGTGGGCCAACATAGCCCATAGCCCAAATGTGTTTAATCGACGCGACCGTCGAAGCACGTGAGGGAAGTTTAGATTCGGCTGACTGAGGTCTGACAATGCCTGTGATTTATTTTCACAAGTTTGGTTCGTTGATAGTGTGTGATACTTGATCGTTTTCTCGCCTACGATGTAGCGCTTTTTCATTATTACAATTAGAATGTTGGCATTTATGTGTGAAAAAAATGACCCTGATATTGATTTACTTTTGGTCATCCCTAGATGACCGGATAAAGAGGACATTGTCATCTGGGAATTAAATTAAATCATTAAGTCACTAAAATATTTATGAAATGTTATATAATCATACAACAGTGACATAAATTGATTGACTTCTAAAATTAACTGAGGGAATGTCAGTCCATTTAATGACTATAATTTACCTCAAGAAGAACTCTCTTAGTTTGCCAGATGGGAAAACATGCTCAACATGATGTATACATATTTTTTTAAAGAAGTTATAAAGCACACCAAAAATATTGTTTTAGTTGAAGAAATATCTAAGCTAGCATGTTTGTATCGTCATTTAATGATAATACCAAATAGAACACATTTCCTTCATTTAAAAATATAAATAATTTTTTGAATGATTGAGTATTAAAAAATATAAAGTATTTTTAACGTTTTAAAATATAATTAATGTGTTTTTTTCTTAAAAAATGTTATTAATAGACAAATCACTTTACATTTACTTTAAAATGAAGCACCCATTAAATAATGATAGCCATAAAAAGATTGTATTGATTTGAAGATATTTTAACTACTTTAATAAGAGGAGATTTGATTAAAAATATATTATATTTTTTAACGAAATGAGTAGTCATTAATTGTACATTTATACTATTTTTAACCAAATTGTCTTTTGTTGGATGACTAGTAATAGGTATATATGCATAAAATCAATTTCTTTTCTATCTTGATTTTAACTTTTGTGTATTATTTATCAGGAGATAAGTTCGTCATTTTCAAAATTTTGATGTGATTAAAGTTATCACATTAATCAAATATAGTGTTTTATTTTAAAAGCAGATCATAAAAGATGCTATAATTAAAAGGTTAATTTTACAACCAGGAACAATTTTTAATTTTTTAAGACACCTTGAAGCATCAACTTACAACTCATGAGCATTGGATATGCATCTTAGATGTTAATTTTTTTAAAAAAAATAAAAATAGTATCACAATGCTTTACAAGCAGTACCAAAGAAGTATCCGGGGTCACCAGTAATCAAAATAATATCAACACTAATGCATCAAGCAATTTGAAACATTAATGCTTCATACAATAACATCCTTTTAATGCAAATAACATCACGTTGATGTGTTAATAACAAATGTCTACACGACAACTGATGTTGCCAGTATCTTGTTAAATGCCTTGCTTGTATATAGTTTGGGTATTTGCCACATAAGCCCAATAGATCATGACAATTTTATACAAGCCTAAAGGCTTTATGTGCAATTATTTTAAAAACTAAAATGATAGAATTACCCTTAATGCGTGAAAAGGCCTCAGGTTCAACCTCACATGGACTTGTGTAAATAAATAGATTGTTCTTATTACCTACAGACCTTATATTGTTAATTTTATCGAATCAACTTATAAATTTTCTCTTTAAGTTTAAGTGTAAACTCTTATAAATATACAAGCTTTTTATTATAAATAATTAAAATTTAATTATTGATCATGCACATTGTATTGTTAATTTTCTCCAATTAACACGTAAATTTTATCAAATATAAATTTAAGCATATATATATATATATATCAAATATAAATTTAAGAATATGTATATATATTATTGTGAATAACTGGACTGTCTATAAATAACATGGTTTTTCTTATTACTCACCTATCCTCCATTGTTAATTTTATGTGGTTAACTTGTAAATTTTATTTCAAAGTATAAGTATAAATTTATGTGATTCTAGTAAATAGACAGAGTTATTGTTATAATGAACTCAAATTGTATAAACACATTGATTTACTAAAAATTTATAATCCTAACAATAATTCAAGAATGGATAAAAGAAAGAGGGACTACGTAAATACAAGAGTATAGAAAGAAAAATTATACATAGGTTTTACAAAAAAAAAGTTTATTATTGATAGGTCTCGTAAAACTAATAAAATACTCTTAAATTTCAAATCTTGTATATTTATAACTTGATAAAGAAAATTTATAATTAAACAACAAACATTTACAACTGCACATTTACCTCTCAATAATTTTTTTTTATAGAAACTAGGTGTAATATTTTCACATAAAAATAAGGGGGCCTGAGGGAAAGATAGCTACAAAATCTGCACACTCATGCCTACACTTTCTATCCAAAATATACACTCTCACTTACTCCTTTTATTTAGAAATATAAAGTATATTTAATTAAATTTTACTTCTCAGTAAAGTAGTTACTTAATTTTAAATTAATTATATTTTTTATATTTATTTCTATTAAATACCTTATAATAAATATAAAGTTATTATCAATAGGGGCACTTTAAAAAAAATAATAATTACACCTCAAAAGACTAAAAATACTTCATATTTTTTAATATCTAATTTTTTAAAAAATATCTTATATTTTTAAATAAAAGAAGTACTTTTTATAAATGCCTGGTATAATAACCTGCGAATCCTTTTTATAAGCAATTGGACATATTTTATTATTCATGTCATGGAGGGGAGGGGGAGCAATCATGGGGAAAGGCAGGGGAGATTAAAAGTTTGCCTTCCCTCTCCTTTAGTATTGTTTCTTCGTTTCATGTAAACAAGGGGAGGGGAAAATTTATTCCAACTAAGCAGAGAATTTGTTAACTACACATATTCTCACCCCTGAAAAACAGCTTGGCCTGTTCAACTTCGAAAATAATTAAAGGGCTTGGATAGGATTATCGAAGTCTGCAGGGCTTGGAGGGTAAATTGTCTTCCTTCGAGGGCTTTATATGCTAATCCCTTGAAGAATTTATTAGGGTTTTAACTCGGAAGTCCTCGTGTTCACGAGAGAAAGCAGCCGCGAGCCCAGCCCTTGCCCCGTCTCTCACAATTCGTCTTTGCGCTACTCAGGTATCGTTGGATTTCTTTCTTTGCTGCAAAACGAGGTGGGTTCCGATGGATTTTTACTTTCTCATAACCCCCCTATGCTATGGTACGCGGGGCTATGCCGTTTTAAGTTTTCTTTCTTTCACTGCATTTCGATTTTGGTGTCTGGTAAGGCCTACTGATAGTAGTCAATACCCTGAGATTAACGGCTCTAATCTGCTAAAGGTTCTTGCCCCAACGTCCCATTAACCTCTGAAAACCCTAATTGCATATAGATATATTCTTCTACACCCATCCTACCTGCTTTTATTTGCATAAGCCCTACGAGCGACATTGCAATCCCTTCACAGTTCTTGCCATGCTTCCATGTCCAGATGATTTTTTTTTTTGGGCTAATTCGTTATTCCAATTTAATCTCACGGCAGAGATGAAGGTGATTGCTGCGTATTTGTTGGCAGTGTTGGGAGGGAACACATCTCCTTCGGCCGATGATATAAAGAACATTCTTGGCTCAGGTGAGCTATCTCTCATTTTCTCTTTTTTTCTGTTCTTCTTGCTTTTAATTGGTGTTTTTCAATCTCATACTTTAGATTCGTTAGAGATTAGAGATTTAGCTTTCTCAGCGATTGTACAAAGGAATGCTGTTATAAAAGTCACCTGAAAATTTGATTAATAGATGTGAAAACGAGAGGAATGAAATTAGAGGAGCGAATTTTCGGTACATATTAAGCGCGCGCGCGCGCAGTATTTGGTTAGATTTTGGTTAAAACCATGTTTTGACCAAGAGTAAAGCTGCAAAATCACCTTTGCAATGGACATCCAAAAACACGCTTAAACCAAACCTTATGTCAACATACCTCTTTTATTTTCACTTCTCTGTTCTTATTTCTTGAATTGTCTAGAAAAAACAAATTTTACACATTTCAATGACTGCATCGCGGATTAGTGAATACTTAATTAATTCAGAAAGGGTGCGAGATCACAGTGCTAACTTCTTCTCACTATGTATGCATGCTTGTTGTCACCTATCTCTTGTAGCACAAATACATTGAAGATAGCTGAATTAAATCAGAAATCTTGCATGGAAGCAGAATTAATGTTTACCCCTATCTCACTGTTATTGTCATCGGTTGGAAAAATTAAGTATCTATAACTAGCAGCTGGAGTTAAAATGACTTCATTTTTATGTTTTGTAAGTTTGCCACGCACCTTGCAACCAATAAATATTTTAATTAAGGTTATCCCGTAATTTTCATACTGGGACTCTTTCACGTTTTGTTTGATTAGTTCCTCATGTTACATTCATGGTTTGCAGTTGGCGCTGAGGCTGATGATGAGAGAATTGAGCTTCTCTTAAACGAGGTTAATGGCAAAGATATTACTGAACTGATTGCTGCAGGAAGAGAAAAGCTTGCTTCAGTTCCAGGCGGTGGAGGTGCAGTTGCTGCCGTTGCTGCACCTACCGGTGGAGCTGCAGCTGGTGGTGCTGCACCTGCTGCTGAGGCAAAGGAGGAAAAGAAGGTGGAAGAGAAAGAGGAGTCTGATGAGGTGAGAGTTAAACTTAAAGTAGTTGTCAATAATCAAGGATCGTTTGGTAATATTGATTACACATCCTCTCATTACGAACGGTGTTATTCTTTCTACAGGACATGGGTTTCAGCTTATTCGACTAAAAGGTCTGAATTGCTTTGTCTATCAGTAGCATTTGCGGCTCCGGTTAGGGTTTTTGTGCAATTACACTACTTTCTGTTACTGAAGTTGCGTATTAATATTATTTTAGGTTGGTTGGGTTCTGCCTTCTCATTCGGAACAATATAATAGCAGTCTATCTGATACGAATATTTTCGATTTTGCTTTGCATGAACTTTTTTGCGAAACTGTTTTAGTGATATGTTTAATGAAATTTCAAAACTCGTATAAACATTGAACAAGAACTGCCAGTGTTAGAATTTCTGCGGGACAACTGATTGTCAATTTGTTATTGTAGAGACGGGAAAACTCATCAATTCTTCATTAAATTGTAACCTCTCTAGTTCTCACTATAAATCATCTTTAACTAGTGCATGTAAATTTGAAAAAGTAGTTTATGTTCAAAAATTACCGCGACCTTTTAAGGTAGCTCTTATTCTGACATTATCTTCCATTTATGAAAAAACCAACAGAATTATTTTTAATAAACGGGCAATTGTGAAAAAAATTTAGAGGAAATGGTTTGAGAATTTAATATCTGCATTTGATTAATATAAAAGGATATGGAAACGTCTTTTTTAAGTAGAGTCTTGAAATTAATTATTTCCAGCAAGGGAGTGAAATACATGCTCATATCATTTTCTGAATCGCTTGCACCGGACTTGTCAAAAGCACGATACGTCACCCATACGACTTCATCACAAACTACAGGCTTATCGAAAACCTTCTGTGGAATCATTAGCGTTTAGCGGTAAATGTTTTCTATGTTTAGCAATTATAGTGCCATATTGTGATTTGAGGGCCGAAATAAATGTATTTTTTTTTTTGTTTTGCATCAATGTAAGCTCAAAGTCGTGGGGCCTCAAGCTTTTGTTGTCAATCACTATATTTGAATAAATTTGATCTACATAAAATACGATTTAAATTATTTACAGTCCAATACTAATTATTAATCTTGTGATTATTGTTGTTGATGAACTTTTAATTTTCTTTTAAATGCATGATCATCAACCAGACCGGAAGTGTATGAGAAACCCTCTGAACAACTATGGCAGATGGTCAGTGTCACGGAGTTTTCCTTTTTCTTTTTCTCCGAACAATCAATGTCAGGGATTTAAAAAAGCGAGTAATCCCATAATAAACCGATCAAAACAAATACATAGATTACCCTAAATGAGGGAAATAAAATACCCAAACAAAATGTAATTGGTTAGAAATACAAATTGCGCTACCATTTCGCAACCATCACTTGCTACTTCCATCAGCCTATTCGTTATTTCATTCACCTGAAAGAAAGAGTAATAAATATTTTAAAATAAGCCAGTAATCATGGCATAAAACTTTCACTCAATCAATCGAGTAAAGGTCAATTCTTCGCCTATGCATATAATCTCATGCATAATGATCATGAGATAGAATAGATATGATCTCAGTCAAGGAAAGAAGAAAAATATTTAATTATTTACCAGTTCAAAGTTGGCATCCATCTTCATAAATAAGGACTAAATCAAACAAGCCAAGGACCTTCAAGACTTTGGCACAGTGACGTTCAGGATTTTAACATCTTGATATGGCTTGTCTGCCTTGTCTGTCTTTACTTTTTCTATAGCCTGTCATCAAAACCAGAGTTCCCAGATGTACATCAAATGTAAAGAATAAATGGAAGAATCGTTGAAACAGATTTTAAATCAAAAGTTGAACTGTAAAGGCAATCCCAATAGGTGACAAAATGTGTCTTGAAATGTTGCCAATGGTAGTGACCACAAGTTAAACGCCCAATCTACCTGTACGACATCCATCCCCTTCACAACTCTGCCGAATACAGTGTGCTTGTTGTCCAGCCAAGGAGTGGCCACAGTGGTGATGAAGAACTGAGAACCATTTGTATTTGGGCCCGCATTTGCCATTGATACTGTGAAAGGCCTATCATGTCTTAAACTGCAAAGACGAATGGTTTAATGTGATTCAATCATAACCTGGACGCTGGAATGATGACGGGTTTTTGTGCATGTTTGCACAGATACATGGCAAAAAATTTAGTGGTAATGCAATATAACCTACACCTAAACAAAAAGTTAAATCCAGAAATTACCAAAATACGAGTCTTGTCATATTCATAATGCATGTGATTGCATGTAATATTTCTTGTTACATTTGAGCAAGAATGAGGAATCATGAAGGTGATGACTGATAACCATACTAACAACGCATAAGGAACTTGATCAAGGATGACTTTTGTATACAATTAATTTACCTTTTGTGAAATTCATCCTCAAATTCTCTCCCCCAAATAGACTGGCCACCAGTGCCATCTCCTAAGGGATCACCTGTTTGAATCATAAAGCCTTTAATAACTCGGTGAAAAATAAGATTATCATAATAGCCATTCCGACAGTGAGTTGTAAAGTTCTCCACAGTTTTTGGACACTCCTCTGGGTATAACTTCATGTGAATGTCACCCATGGAAGTGTGCATAATCTGGCAAAAGAAAACAAAGACGTGATTATCCTTATGGTAATGCAAGATAATCTATATTAAATAGATATAAATAAAAAGTCAGAAGGCTTTGCTAGGAGAAGGGGGTGTTTGGGGTTTGAACTACAAAAGAAAGCATAAAAAAAAAAAAAAAGGTACATGTACACACAGACACACAATGCTAAACCTCTAATTCTCGCGTGGAGGCTAGCCTACTCCACATTTTACAATGCATACCTCATGGTTCTGGGATCATCCCTATTCATAAGAATATCTGCTGGAATTTTATGATGTACACATAAAGGACAAACACAAGCAGATGGGACAACCAAGAAAAAAAGAATAAGTAAAACTTACACTTATTGAGGAGATAAGTTGTTTTTAGATGATGTTTATTTCTAGCATGAAACAAGCATTTGAGTTTGTAAATTTAACCCTGAAATTTATTGCAGGAACAGACCACTTTAAAGACAAGAAAACTCACCACATTGTCCGGAAGTGATGTTGTAACTGCCTTTCCAATATCTGAAACTGCCAAAAGTTCATCAGGGGGAGGCTTTTCATTAAACACATCTCTTCCCTTAGTTGCATCTTCAGGCTCCTCTGGTTCTCTCCGACTGATAAGACCATGAGAGACGCCAGAAGTCAGTAAAAATGGCAACAGCATACAGTTCAATGACATGGGAAACCAGGGCACATTGGAAACACTGGCAGAAATAATCCCAAATAGAGGCTATATAACCTGATAGTTAGACTCTTACCTGAACAAGTATATCCTGTGTTTTTTGAAGGCACAACACAAAAGAGTTGGATCGGTCAATGGCTCCTTGCTCTCATTCACATTTGCAGCTGCTGAAGGAATCTTTCTTACTTTTTTACTGCCTTGATCCCCTTGATATAAAGCTATTCCTAAGAACCTATCGTTGTTCTCCACCTTCCCAAGTATTCGGGCAACTTTATTGGTATGCAAATTTATCATCTATAAACAGATAGAAGATAAGAAACACATTAGATTACATGGCATCAAATGGTTGTCTCATTGCGCTATATGTATAAAATAGTATTATTTGACTAAGTGAATGCAAAATAGTCATACAAATAGAATTATTAACCAATTAAACGAGTAGTAACTAACTTTTATGCCAAGCAAGGTTGCATATATAAGAAAATTAGAACTTTCATCAAAAACTGCATTTGGATGTGGCGCATTTTCTGTCTTCTCTATTTCCTTCTCAACAGCCATTCTTCGGCCGAAATCAATGGCTTCCAGCCGATATAAGGGAGTATCACTTCGTTGAAGATCTTGAGCTACCTATTAACAAAAATTGTTCAATGACCAATGATTTCCAAAAGCAAATATGCTCGGATCAAACTTCCAGTGAGGTATTACCTCCAGTGATTCGTCATAAACTCGCCTTAATTTACCCGTTCTGGACCAAAACACACGGATCCTGCGATCAGGTGATGTTATGGAAAATTGCTTTCCATCTGGACTGACCTAAAAATTGGTGCATCACTGTTAATAAATGTCTTCTTTTCAACCAAGAAAGCATCTATATCATATATGTAACCTATATTGATGTTGACTAGCGAACTATAAGTTCAGATGTATGCCTAGACTGATACCTCAATAGTTGAAACAGAAGTCTTGCATTTCGCTATTTCAAAGAGATTGGTATCACTTTTCAGTCTAAAATTCACCCTACAAGTACCAAAGAAACACAGATTATAGTATGTTCATGAAATAAATAAATGTTAAAAATGCTAGTGTCACAAAATAAGAATTTAAAGATTGCAATCCTAAACAAGTTGTTTTCACAAGTGAATAAAAACTTCCCTACAACAGCCACCAAGAGTAACAACCACGCATTAAAAGGAGGTAGGAAATTGTAACAGCATGAAAATGAGCACATACTTATCCTCTGGGAATTGAAGCGTAGTAGGATTCCAGTATTCAATCAACCCCTTTGTATCTGCTGAAATCACAGAATCATATAGTGGATTGAACTTCATAACTTTAATAGGACTCAAATGCATCTGAAATGAGGAAAAGTGGATCATTCAATTCCATTACTGATCACAAACCAAAAAAGAACGACAAGCAATTTTGAATGGTCAGTCAAATTCAACTTGGTCTAGAACTGGTACCTCTTTGGAGATTATAGGTTCATTTGAACCAGCTCGTGCATCATATATGTGCACAAAAGATGAGTTTCTATCACTAATGGCAAGCCTAGCTTTGACATCTCCTTGTTTGTAAACCCATTCAACAGCACCAGGAATGTATGGCAAACGAATCATCGCCATCATGTCAAAGTTGACTACATCATAAATTTTCACAGCGTGATCATTTGATATTGTACAACAAAGCAGACCATCAACGCTAACCTGCACAGCAGAAACAAGTCATTGTTGATGAAAAACATATTTTGATAACTTGAATACAGAATCCAGGGGAAAAATTCTATCCTGGTATAAGCGATTAATATCATCAGCATGGTGAAAGCATGAAGAATGCTTCTCAGCATTCTACAAGACAAATCCAAATTAACCATTTCGAGTAAGATATATAACATCACGGGCACATATTTAACTGCATGTTTCCACTTTTGTGTCTGCAAGATCTGTAATATTCACGACACTGCAATTTTTAATACATGCTTAATGCAGTTATCCTGATACAGCCATAAACTTTGCACCCTCATTGAGACTTGGAAGACCCTGAGCTGAGATAGAATTATTTGGGACTAAGATGAAATAAGAAACACAATAACAAATCTTTGTTTTTCCATGCACAGGTGAACAATATTGTACAATTCAGCAGTAGAAAATCCATACAGGCATAATACATAAAATTCATATCACTTACATACTTTCCAAGAGAAGCATATCTAACTATATAAATAAAAATCTCCAATCAATTAGATTTGAGGCAGCGATAAGTTAGACACTACTTCATATGAACAAGAGTTATACCAGGTTGATAAACTTACGGCTAGACCTTCAATTGGGCCAATATGGGATTTGAAGTGCTTTGCAAATTCAATACCAATAGGCTTTTTCTTCCAAAATTTCAACTGCCCTGTTGACAAAAAGGAAGTTACCCACAAAGAGATAGGCCATGGTATCATACAATAAGCCATTGTATTACAAAAAGAGTCAATTGGTCTGATATTTTTGAAAAGGATAAAAATGTTGTCAAGTTAAAAAAAGGCCATATCAGCAAGTTACAGAGCAGAAAAATTACCCACAAAACAATATAGATAAGAGAAACATTGTTCAAATATTAAATGCTGAAGCTGATTACATTGATCAATAAAACAACCAAATTTGTTGGATAAAGCTCTAGTAGTATACACACAAACACATATCTATACAAAATTTAATGATTATAGATATGCTGCCAAGGATATGTTTACCATCAATGCTCCCAGTTATGAAAAATTCTGCAGCTGAAACAGCAACATGGGTAACTATATCACGATGCATATAACTTTTCTCATACCTGTAGAAAGAGAGAGAAGCGAGGATGAAAAAAAAAAACCGCTGATTTCAAAACCTCCTGCACACCTACCAAGATTTCTTACTGGATGAAAAGAATGAAGCGCTTCAGAGCAATTCTACTCAACACATGAGGCAAAAAATTTCAGAGTAAAAAAGAGGAGGTTTCATCCTGGCTACTTTATGGTTCGTTTGTAATTTAAATGGAGATACATGGAAGAATTTATTGCCATTAATAAGTGATTCCATCTTCCACATCTTTAGTGGATGTGCCATTTTTTTGTATGGCTCTCTGCCATTGTTGGGCTCAATTCAAGGTATACAAAGGGAGTAGTTAGCTCTGTTCAGTGGATGTTCTTTCTTGGATTCATTGTCATTAATAGAAGAGTGATCATCCATCTCTGTCCTTTTTCTATCTTAACAGAATCTCTACATTTTAAAATGGAACCACAAGGGAATTAAGTCAGTTGCTTGACGCGAAACTTACTGCAAAAAGTTCTGTGAGATTGCAATTCACAGGCGTTCAGGCAGCAATACGCTCATTCTCGACGGAATAATGAGTAATAAAATTTCACTTTATTCACAAGCGTCTCCATCTCGGAAACTAAAAAAACTGTGATCACTTTAGCAGTTACAAGTGGAACGAAATGTTTCATCGAAAATACTTGAATTGGTCTTTCAGCGGAGACAGTACAGCATCAATGAAGATTCGTAACGCAAAAGCTATACAGCAAGCAAATTGATTGGAAGGGCGTACCAAGAAGAGAAGACATTTTAATCCGCTCAAGAGACCAAAAAACTTGAAGTTAAAAAAAAAATTAATTTTCCAAATTGCATGAGCACCTGCACTTCAGCATAAAAAATCAAACCACCACCACCTGACTAAAAATTTTTCACTATATATAATTTCCTGCATAGTTGTTGGTATCAACTTAATTGATTTAAAGACAAAAAGAACTAAACTTTAAACCCTAAACTGTGATCTCAGGGCATGGACATATGAAAGATGCTAGAACGACTACTCACATGTTTGCAGAGGGTAAAGCATCGAGGTAGGCCTGCTCGAACTGGAGAGGACGTTTAGGTCGAGAGCGTAGGGCTGGCCCCGGTCCGATAAGGGCGTCTTCCTCACCATCCGGAATCGCCGAATTGGCGTCACCGCCATTCTGACTCTCTTCCATTTCGGCACCGTGGTTTAGCAATACAGATCGGTTCCAGAAGAATGCAAGATGGTGTTAGGAATTGTATCTCAGTCCACTGAAAGATAAAAAGTTCAGAGGGCAAAACTATAACAGAGGAAGGAAGCAGAAGCTGCTTCTTGCTCCTGGGCAAAACTATACCTTTGCAATAATTCTTCACAGTACCCTCGGGGGTAAATTTATGTCTAAGATAAATAGATGTATTAGTTCAGCTGAAAGAAGATTAATTAACTATAATTAAAAATATTTTCTGAAAAATTATATAAATTATATTTTAAAAAGTTAAAAATATTTTATATTTTTTAATATAATACTTTTTTTTATATTTTAATATTTTATAATACTAGACTAAACGTCTTTAATATAGACTACTTCGAGAGGATACAAATGGAAATTATTTTATTATTATTTTTTTGCCAATAAACATAGAGGTCATTATTATAAATGTATATTAATTAAATTTTTTTAATATCATATCCACTTAAATTTAAAATTATTAATTATGAGCGATAATGACATGTCAAATTGAAAATTTTGTTAAATATAGATAAAATCAATTGTTTTTATTTTTAAATAAAGTTGTATGGTACTATCATTACTAACAATAGTTTATGGCTGATTCAACCCTTCCACCAATTTTTTTTACCAACAATTCCTCCACCAGTTTGATCAAACACCAACTCAATTATACTTATTACCTATTTGGTTAAAAAATCAAAGAGAATGTAATGTTATGTTAAAGAATGAAATAAATGTAATAAGAATTACATGTATTTATTTGATATGTTATAAAAAATAGTTGTAATGGAGATTACATAAATTTATTGATGTAATTTTTTTTACAATATATAATGTAATTTTCGTTAGCTAATTTAATTTTCTTTACTTTATTTAATATTAATCAAATAGCTGAAACCTTGTAATGCATTGGAATTGTAAATAATTCCTTTATATTGCATCGAACCACAATTGTGTGTGTGTATTTTTAATATTAAAGTACTATGCAAGATCCATCTAATTTGTTCGGTAAAACGTAACATGACAAATGACAAGCCTCTTCTGTGTGTGGTTCACCTTATTAAAAATTCTAGAATTTAGGAAGCATTTGAAAGATGGGGTTCCTGTCTCACTCTCATTGAAGGCAAAGGCACAGTCCACACTTGCGGGAGAAATGAGGGCGTTGTACAATTCCGGAGGCAACCTCAGTAATTTACGATTTTGCCATTGCCCTCAATTCCCCTCCTCGAACGCACCATTTGTTATTCTTCCATCACGAATTCCATGCCTTTCTCTCAGAAACCCCACTACTGCACTTTCCTGCAACCATAATCTCTTTTCTCCTTCGGGGTCGTCGTCGATTCAACCACTGATGGCTTCTCCTACCTCATCCATTGACACTGACCAGGATACAAAGCCACTCTCGGTGCTTTTTGTTTGCCTCGGCAACATCTGTCGGAGCCCAGCCGCTGAAGGGGTCTTCAGACACTTGGTCAAGCAAAGGGCTTTAGATTCCAACTTCAAAATTGATTCTGCAGGCACCATTAATTACCATGAGGTGGGTTATCCCTAGTTACATCTCATACTATGATCATCGGATAGATCTGTAGTATTGTGTGTTCTTGTTTGTGCTTGAATTATCTCCGCTACATATGGCTGCCATTGTGACAAGTGACAATTCAAGAATCTCTGAATAATACTGGCTCATTGTTGTTGAATGTAAATGAAGTAGACCACTGGGTGAAAGAAGAAAACAATTGATTTATTGTATTGGTAGATTTATTTATATATTTACTCGTGACCGGAGAAAATTCAAGAAGACCAATGAAATCTTCTTCCATACTAGATAACTTTCTACGAAGTCGATTCAACTAATTTGACTTGTGAATAATGTCATGATTTGATATGTTTAACTTGTATTGACTTACACTTTTTCTGTAACTCATGTAATGTTGCACGGGTAGCAGGCTAACTATTGGATTATTGAATTCTATTTTAATGGTCATTATTGATGAAGGGAAATGAAGCAGACCCAAGGATGAGAGCAGCCTCAAAAAGGCGAGGTATTGAGATAACCTCTATTTCCAGGCCAATCCAGCCATCTGATTTCCGAGATTTTGATCTTATCCTTGCTATGGACAAGCGAAACAAAGGTGAGCTTGAATCAGATCTCTGGACAGAACTGGTTGTCTTGAACAATCTCTTGCATGAGTTCTTACAGGGTGGTATAATGGCTTTTGTTTCTTGTTTGCTGTAGAGGACATGTTAGAGGCATTCAATATATGGAAGTCTAGAGATAGTTTACCAGCTGATGCATATAAGAAGGTCAGCGTAAGGGTTTTATTAAGATTGGGTTTCTAACTTTTTTTAGCTTGTTTAATGTGAGTATCGGTGATGCAGGTTAAATTGATGTGCTCGTATTGTAAAAAACATGATGAAACTGAAGTCCCTGATCCTTACTATGGCGGGCCACAAGGGTTTGAGAAGGTAATGATTTAGTTACTGGTTGGTTCTTTTTGTTGGTTAAGGCAGATCATCATCTGTTGGGATGGGCAAGGGCAATACGAGCATGATTGGAATAATTTGTGGGGACTGAAATCCAAGCATTACATTGATGTGTATGAAAACATAGTTGAAAAAAAAAAAAGTTACGCTTCCAGAGAAATTTTACTTGGTAATTGCCCTTAAACATTTTGGCAGAGTATGAAGAACCGTATCCTGTAGCATTTGCCTACTTGGCGCCAAGGTGTTAGGATGCTTTGTTTTGTTTTGCTTTTGCATTTGATATATTAACATGAAGGAGGGCTGTGCAAGGATGGATATGAAAACCCAATAGTAAGCAGCTAATGATTTTCATCAACTTTTTTCCGAAAAAATCAATACTTACAATCAACACTAAGCATATTATAATGATAGCTTGTCGAAAACTTGATGATATCATAGCTAGTTGATATTGCGTCCCTGTGTTGTTTTATCAATCGTAAATCCTGATAAGCAGTCATTCAGGCAGCACTATATCGTAGAGATTTTTATTTATTTATTTATTTTTTAACTTTTTAATAACTTTTAGCTTACGCTCTGCATTATATGCTATCATTTGTGTGGCAGGTGTTGGATTTGCTTGAAGATGCTTGTGAATCATTGTTGGACGACATTTTGGCAGAGCATAAACATTTAAAAGAATGATAGGACTCGGCTGTTGTTCCCTTCGGAAAAGTAGAATGGGGACTGTCATCCATAGGTATTTGCTTGAGGCCTTTACCTCCATCGGTCTTCTGTCTGTACTTCTGCTGGCGTGTGCGTTTGTTGCATCACTTCTTTCAACCACCAGAATGTGTTTTCAGAATCAGATTAAGATGTCACAAATATCCATTCTTGATCAGTTTTTCTCGAGCTATATCCTTGACGTTGCGAATTGTGAGCAAATTCAATGTACTAATCGTATGTTATCAGTGAAAGTTGAAACACATGTGTTGAAGTGATTGTTGCCTCCATCTTCATATTATGTAATTCATTTCTCTCAATTTATTTTTTAGGATTTTCTTTTGAGTTGGGAACTGAAATTATCCATATAACATGTTAAAGGATAAATTTATTCTGTAAGTTTTTGCCAGGTACAAATAATGTTCTTAATTTTCCTTTGGCATAATGGTTTCTTGGAAGCTTAAATAAATGACACAATAGCACCATATAGTAATATTTGACAATTATTTGAACAATTCTAATTAGAGTTAAATAGTAATTTTGTCAAGAAAGTTTCTTTTAAAAAATGTTTAGTGTCAAAATTTTGATTGACCTAAAAAAAATAAAATAAAATAAAATATGTGATATCTATTATGTCTTTATAATTATCATTTAATAATAATACTTATTAGTCTTTTATTCGAATTACATGAAACATTTTTTATCTTAAAAAAATTATCTCCCTTTTTCTTTCATCTGATTCCATTTTATGTTGAAAATAGCCTCTTCTCTTATATATATATATACATATATAACCTATATTTGACAGAGTTTTACATTAATTGATGAGAAGCTAACACAGTTCTTCTCCTTCATCCGGATTTGGAATTGACTACAATACCAGCAAAGTTACATACATACATACATACTATAAAAAATGACGGTGGCACTTCTTAAAAACGAAAGATACAATATGCAGAACTTGCATATATTGACAGGTCTATTCATTACTTGGGTGCATCTAACAATCTATTACGGCTTAAAATTCACAAAATTAATGTTCAAAAAGAATAGAGCCACATCCAAAAACATCATACATACACAAAGGTGAACCCTAAAAGGAATGGGTGAGAAAGACGCTCTAACTTGTCTGCCTGCGTCTCATAATCATAGCTGAACCATCAAAGCCAATAAGCTATGGAAGATTCGAGAGGAAGACTACCTCATGAGATCAACTCAGACTATAAAGCTCTGTTTCTTCCTGCCCCGTTCCCTCTTCTTTGGGTTGGCACTTAGCATAGCATTTATAAGCTCTGGATCCTCTTCGTTAATAAGGATTTTTGCAGCATTCGGATTGGCTAGCAAGAGCTTTGCCACAAGGTATCCTGCGATAGACCATGTTTGAAAAAGTCGTGCCTGTTTTCCAATAAGCCTTGCTTGCTTTGTATCATAGTACTCAGGCCACTTGTCTTTTGATAACCTGCTCTCAGCTACCTGGACAGCCTTTAAAGCAATCTCTGGTCTTTTCATCTTAATGCATGCAACGGCAAGCTGCAATATAACCACAGTCATTTAATCCACAGAATATGTCCATTTCCATGATCCAACTATTATTTTGGCGTCCTGTAGGCTAATATCAACCAGAAACTATAACTTCAATTTCCAATCTATTTTAAGAGCACTGACCTCCAGTGACCAAAAACCCTTCTCGAGTGTCGCCTGATCTTTTTGTAAACGAAAAGACAAGATATATTTGCCAGGATAGCCTTATTTCAAATAATTTGATCCCTTAACTTTTAGATCTTTGATTGTGGGGGCAAAAATTTGGTAGCAAGTGCTAGTGATGCACTGTATCCATCAGGAGGTCTATCACCACCAATATTTGACAGGGACAACCTGACTTATAGTGAAGGCTATCCCACACTCGAATTAATACCTGTCCAAGCTGCAGCCCTTGAAACTCTGAAGCATCACTGATGAATTTTAATTTGCTTTGGTTTGGTTCTATTTAAAACTAAAGAATCGGATCGTGCTATAATATCCATCACTTAGATGTTAACTAAAGAAAGAAATGGTTAAAAATGCTAAGTGTAATTTGAGGGATGGTAGATGATTCTGCAACTAACTAGCGATAACAACCTCTCTTGACCCAAATTTATATGGGAAGCATGGTAGATGTCCCATCTTTTAGGGTTAAGGTTTAGATGTGTGAATGAAAAATTAATAAAGAATAAAATAGCAACGTAGTTTACAGGGAAAATTTTAACAGAACACCAAAAATTTCAAGGGCATGAGCATTCATCTCCCTGGTAAGTCTCAAATCACAAGTTCAGTAAGAATCAACATCATGGCAGAAGAGAAATTATATTTTACACTTCCAATGATGTGTGAAGTTGACTTACTGAAGATTTATTTTCTGTCTTTTTGTACCTTTAATCAACCCTCACTTTGTTGTAACGAGGTGGTGGTTGATGATAGGATTAGGCATACAGTTAAAAGTTGCATGTAATATTTTGTGATTATTGTACAGTTTTTCAATAAAAAAGATTATTTTACTGCTTTGAGTCTAAGAATTGAACCCAATAGAAACCATAAAATATCAATAATAAACACTAACCTGCCAGAGCAAAGTTGGCCAAGAGCCTGCATTGTGGTAGGACCAAGGACTGCATACGAAAATAAGAGGTCAGAATAGCTGCAGAAAATAAGAAGAAAATAATGCAGGATTTTTGTGAAGACATTACGTGTTTTTGGGGTCGCTGCCTGTTATAATACGCCATTCCTGGTCTTCAAGAGCAGGGTAGCATATCTTGAAAGGCATGCCAGCCACTAACTCTGACCATTTTGCTTCAATTAGGTCTAAGATGGCATGTGATTGATCTGCAGTGGCCAGACTACTTACAATAGACCATAGGTTTCCAAGAGAAAAAAAACGGAAGTCCATGTGAGCAGGTTGCAGGTTTCCAATCAAATAACCTCCTTTAGCTGGCATGAATTCCACCAACCACGAGGGAATTTGATCAGGATAGATGTTAAATTTATTAACGGCATCATATGAATACTCCTCAGTCTTGTATCTGTAGATCTCGTTGAGTTTTCTCATATCAACCCAGTAATATTCCCTTATGTGGAATGATAATGAAACAAGCCGACTGTTCAGTGCTCTAATAAGATCAGCTGATCCATCTTCAGGAGCAAGCATCTCTCGCGCACATAGTAATGCTGAGTAAAACAACGCCTGCAGGACATTAAAAATTGATCACAGAAAATATATATTAACTTCATGCAACAAGCAGATGGCCTTAAAGGAGTACTCAAGTACTTATTTGGCTAAATTTGATATCAGCCAAAAAAAACTGCTGAAATTGTCTATGTCTTTATATGAGGGGGGGACTTTTTAGAAGCAGAAGCTAAGTAATGAATCCAACAATATAGAAAGGAGCTACTAACTTGAATCTCCAGAGGGTGACCGTGAATTCCCATACGACGATCTATCATACAGGAACCATCTGTCACCAGCAAAGTTGGAAACATATCAAAACCATCTGCAAGACACAGCTTTAGAATCATTTTGATTCCAGTTTGCACATCAACTCTCTCTTGCACAGACAAATCTCCAGAACATTTTCCATATGCTCGCAACAATATAATCCACCAAAGTCCTGGCAGTAGAGTTAGACACTGTTACTAGTGAAGAAAAGTTAAAAATTGAATAAATAATATAAATAATATCATGGTGCTACTTGCTAACCGGAATCAACTGGTGCCACACGACCAATGGCAGCTTCACCAAAATCAGGATCTAGGACATCCTCAGTTGCAGAATCATCTCCATCAAGGGGAATAGTCCGCACTTTAAAACTTGCAGGCATCAATCCTTGACCAGGACTATGACAATCCATGGTTTTCTCCCAACTCTGCCCAAAACTCACAATCAGCTTAACAAGCAAATTTAGCACTCAAATGAATTATAGCACCATCAATAAAGGGTTTATGACATTACCTGCAACTGAAGCGTATGAAGAATGAAATTCCGTACAATATCATACTCTCCTTTCAAGAGAAATGCTACCCCAGAAGGTATGAAGTCACGGATAAAGACCTGATCATAGTTTAGGATACAACTACTGCTTGGATCATTTGCAGCAATAGTTCCAATAGGGTTATTGCAATAATAAACAATAGAGTCCCTCAGTAAATTCCATGCTTCATCCTCAATTGAATTCTCAATGACCTCATGCAATGTTTCTTTTGCAAGTCCACCCGCAGTTGACTTTCTGTTGGCTATTAAACTTCCATTTGTGGGTTCTACCGGCTCATCAATCTTAAGAGCTTCTCCTTGTGACTTACCACCCGTGAAATTCCCGCTAAGAAACCCTGATGGTCGTTTTTCCGTGGCCCAGGACCATGCACTGTCTTGATCCTCAGTTGCTGAGCTGCCAACACTGTCTACCCGTTGACAATTGCAAACAACGGATTCTAATCGCCCACGATCAATCATCCCGTGAAATTCACCATCTACAACCTGCAATGTACTTGTCTTCTTCGAAGTCAGGCATATTCTTGAACTACTTTTCCCGAGCACATACCCGGAAATTTTTTTTCTTCTGTTATATACATTGGATTTGTTGGACCTGGGCGTTACAAACTCAAGATCATAGGAACATGTCTCAAACTGGAAAAAACGAGGAGAAGTCCCAGATACAATTTGCCGCACAGGTACTGATGCCGCCATCTATTGAACTAAAATTATTCGACGACTCAAAACTGCCTCCAGGGTATGAAATTTAGGTATTTAGTTGTAGCACCTATGCAAAACAGAAAACACTAAGCTCAAAACTTATCCGTGAACCGTGATGCCAGCTTCCTAGCGACACAAAGAATGAAATGAACGGAGACAAAACAAAGGAAGAATAGAAAGATTCTAATTCCGTTCAACACAAATTTTCGTTGCGCCTGAAACAACAATTTGGTTAACTGGGAAAGTGTTCGGACAGAATCTAATTATTCAACATTTCGTTGCAAATGAGAAAAGAGAGAGAGATCCAACGATGAAATCGTACCTGGGATAATAGGAATCACCAAGAAGGTAATCGCGCAGGCAGGGAAATCCAAAAGATCTAATGTGATAAGTAACCCCCCCCCCCAAAAAAAAAAAAGATCTAATGATAAACCAATAATTGCCAGTCATGTGGAACCCTTCCCTCCGTTGCCTCTCCATTCCGCCAAAACGCACCGTTTTGCTGATGAAACAAACCCTAGGGCAGGGCCATGCCATTTTCCAATCAATATGCTGCAAATTTATTTCCGCTTCTCGTTCTTCTTCCTCCAGGCTCCAGCAGCGCCGTTAGCCTGTCCTCTCTTGCGAGAGTCGCTTCTCTCCGAGGGTTGAAATGGGTCTAGGACGAGCAACGCGAGCCACTTGAACATTAACCATGTTACTCTGTCTCTAAGCAACACCAATCATTAACCAAGTTACAGTATTTCACCACCTCAACAGTAGCTTCAGCAGGGGGCTTGAGAAGAAACCACATTCTCATTGCGGCAAAATTCAACTTATCGTTACTATATTAAACACATGCTTCTCTGGTTCCTTTGCTTTATGGACAGTACAATTAACAACCACTGATGTATCCAGCACATTATCAGAAAGGATAGCATAGTGGTAAAGAGATGGATCTTCAATCTTCTCTTTGTCAAAATTTCCTTTTTTATGATAACCAAGCAGGAAATAATCTGCTGCAGGTTGCAACGGAAGGCAAGGCAATGGTCTAGGCACAGTTATGGCAGCTAGCTGAATGAAGAATGCACTTCTTTTCTTTTGCAAATTAACACTCTCTTCAGTTGACTGAAGCATTACCCTCAAGTTCCTTGCCACTAAAAGACAGTCATGGAGTTAGTCCTTTGCCATTGATAGAACAAGACCCAAAGCTTTGGCTTGATCAAGTGCACTTGGAAAAATAAATAGAAACTTTGAATTAAAATAAAAACAATCTAATATGCCCACAAAACTATATAAAAAAAAAAAAAGGACTAAATCAAATACCTAGAGTGAAGCTCTGCATCAGAAGTTCAGAACTTCCTTCTCCAATAGCAAGCTGACTTTCTCTTGTGTTTATGAGAGCATTGTAAAGAATAGTTTTGTTTTTAGCCATTGCAATGTTAGTATATCCTTTGGCCATTGTTCTTTGATCTGGCATCAGTTTCAGAGTTGAATCTGAATTTGGATTTTCATATTCTCTTCTCCACATAATGAACATGTCCTTCACGGTGGTGACAAAGCCTTCAGCACGTTCAATTGCTTCTGCTACAATTTTGCTGTCAGTTTCTTCAGAAAAACTCTCAATTTTTATAAAATCAAAAGTCTTTTAATTTTGTAAAAGTTTAGAAAGTCGTGATTAAATTAACTCTTTTGATTTTTTTAATTTTGATTATTTTTTCTTTCTCTTTTGATGTTTGAATTATTTTTGACAAAATTATTCTCTTCTCTTTTTTCTGATTGTTCTTTTGCCTTTTCTTTTGTCACACTTTTTACTCATGACTTGCTCTTTTTGTCTTAGCTCTTTTTTCTTATTTTTCTTTTGCCTTTTCTTTTATCACATCTTTCACTCATGACTTGCTTTCTTTTCTTCTTTTCATTTTTCTCTTCGCGACAACCAATTAATAATCTTTAAAATCTGTGTTGAATATGTTCATCTTTAATTTTTGAATAGAGAATCCTTCATCTGAAGCTCCCTATGATGCTTAGGTAGCTACCTCCTAGATAAGGGAAGCCCCTTCTTCTTTATGTTTTACTATTACCATTTAACTCTTAATCTTTTAATAGATATAATTAATTGTATGACATTGTGGCCTTTCATTTACCACAACAAAGCATCAGCTCATTATTTGGCACTTTCATGTGATAGAAGAAATAAAATGGCTTTTCATTTTCTTTAAAAATTAATTTTTTCTTTAAAACATTTATATTCCTTTGCCACTAAAGGAAATATTTTTTTTTTGGTCCAAAAATGTAGAATCACTCAAGGAATTATTTTAAAAATTATTTGGACAATCCCTGACAAACTAAAAAAATCAAGAATGTTCATAATTTTTATAATATAAAATGATATATTATGCTTCTTTATAATTATAATAATTATAAACTTGATCATAGTAGTTTATTGGAAAAAATTTTTGCTGTAAAAAGCGAGTAACCCCAAGTGGTCAGAGTTAACATCTTATGGATTTTTATCTAGCTGTAAAGACTTCCACCTTTCTCTTGATAAGTAATGGTGGTAGACTTTGATGGTGCCAAAATTAACTTATAGTACTTTCTATCATTTTTTATGTTTATCAGAATATAATTCCATGTTTACTCTTCTTCGTAAAGGGGAAATATTGCTTATATTGTATGAGAACTACACTCTCTTTAAAATTCTGGCTTGACGGTGTAAATAGTTATTAAATATTATTTTGGAATGTATTGGCTTTTCTATTCAGGTCGTAGCTTCCTGGTATGTCTTTGGTTTTAAGATTTTGTCTCTTTAAGGAATATGTCTTATGTTTTCAATGGTATATTGGCTTTTGGTTTTTATGGAGTGGCTGGCTGCATGGTTATGTCTTTATCTTTTGTGGATTTACTTATTGTGAAAATATTTTTTTTATAAAAATTCTCTTATTAAAAATTTAAAAGAGAATCATTTTTTCTATTATAAATTGTATTTTGAAATAAAAATAGGATAAAATTGTTTGTCATCTAGCAAAAATCTGTTTTGCATCCAAGTTTTTAACATCTTTTTATAAAACATCTTTTACTTCTTTATAATATACTTTTATAAAAAACTTTAGGAAAATAACAATAAAGTCTCTTCAAAATGTATAAATGATAATTTAGTCCTTCAAAATATTATAATTTTTCTAAAGTTTTCAGGAAATTTTATGTCATTAATGAATTTATATAAATTATCAAATTGCTTTTATTGAAAATAAATGATTCATAACTTTCTTTCTTATATTCGCAATAATGCAATAATAAATCACAACTTTACATATTAAATTCCTCATTTATTTTTTATTGTTGTGAATATAAGAAAAAAGTTATAAATTATTTATTTTCAATAAGGGCAACCTGGTAATTTAAATAAATTCATTAATGATAGAAAAGTTTGTAGAAACTTCAGAGAAATTATAACATTTCAAAAGATTCAATTATCATTTATATATTTTTGATGGATTTTATTGTCATTTGCCTAAAAAATTTTGATTCATCAAATCGTCTTGAAATTTTGAAACACACAAAATGATAGATAAAACTTCTTTTTAAATGGTGGAATCTAACTATCTTTTTTTTTTTTGTGTTATCTCCATTTAATTATTTTAGGATTCCTCTATATCCTATTTCTGATGCATCTATCTCCACTATCTTAAAAGATGTCAGATTTGCTATCCCTAAATAAGATAGACTTTTGACTTGTTGTTTTACTTGTTTTACTATTTATGTCATTTTATTTGTCTATTCTAAAAGGTTTTTCTACAAATTCTACCACTCTACTAACTAGCGTTATCCTTTCTTAATATGTTTTATCCCTGCAAATTTTTCTCTAGTCTAGAGCAATTTCATTTCCTTAGTTGAGACTGCTAGATCGTTAGCTTTTATTATTTCATAAAAATAATTAAGATGTTTAAAATATTCTTCAATTGAATTGGAAAACACTAAACATAATCAATATAAGCTATTATGGATTAAATATGTGATTCATTATCCTGTTGAAATTGTGAGGGTGCATATTTTATAAAAAGCATTAATCCAAAAGACATTATATTCTATTCCCAAAGTCCAAAAGCAATTGTAAAAGCTATTTATATATATATATATATATATACACACACATATCTTTCTACTGTTTATATCAAGTAATATCTTGATTTCATATCAAATTTTAAAAATATTGAGGCATTAGTTAATCTCTATATTAAATTCTTTTTATTAGGAATAGGATATCTAATATATCTTAAAATTTTGTTTGATGGCTTATAATTTATAACTAATTTTAGAACACTTCTTTTTATTTTTGCGCTGTTTTGGACATAAAAAGCTAAACAACTCCATAGAGATTTACTCGACTTTACTAATTTCTTTTCAAATAATTGTTTAATTTTTGTTTTACAATATTCTAACAATTTTTGATTCATTTGCATAGGTCTAGCTTTTATTAGTATTTTTTTTCATTAAAAAAATTTTATAAGGTGATTCTACTATGTATCTTTTTCTATTCCAAAAAGCATTTGGGTGTTATGTACAAACATCTCCTTCAATTTTTTTTTTTTACTCCCTTCATTAAAAAATATAAAGTATTTTTTGAGAAATTAAATGTTCAAAAATATAAGGCAGTTTTAACATTTTGAAGTGTAATTATTACTTTTTTCAAAAGTATCCCTATTGATAATAACTTTATATTTATTGTAGAGTATTTAATAGTGATAAATATAAAAAATAGGGTTAGTTTGAAAGTAGGTAACTATTTTATTGGGAATGAGATTCAATTAAAATGTCTTACATTTTTTAACAAATAGAGTATATCATTTATTTTATTTTTTACTTTTAAATTTTTTATTTGTTCTTCAATTCTTTTATAGTGTATTTCTTTACTAAGAAAGTTTACTTGTTTCTGTTTTTTATTTATAGTATTTTTTCTAAATATATAATCTTGTTTTAACATTCTTATTTTCTAATTATTTGAGGTTTTACTCATTCAAAAATTATCTTTTTCCCTACTATCTTTATGATTATTCCTCTGTAATCCACTTTAAATTGGGACACTTGTTTTAAAAAAGGTGTGCAGGTTTGCTTAGAGTTTTGGTTAATATGAAAATATTTTTAAAAGATATCCCTTGATTACATATATGGGTGTTTGTCAATTTATATTGTATATCTAATTTAAAATAATTGTTAGTTGTTCCTGTTCTTTCAAAAGTTTTTTCATAATATTTGATTGGAATTAATACTTCTTGTATACAATTCATATTTGCCCAGAATCTATTAGAGCTATTATATTTCTTGATAATTCTCTATTTATTATCAAACTAACTTGACAATATCATTATCTATAAATTATTTGTGATATTGTATTCAAGTATCTTTATTGATCTATTTCAATCAAGATGTTATCTATTTCATTTTATGTTTCTTTTTTTATATTTTATTCTGTTTTTATTTTACTAGTTTTTAATTAGGCTTTTATTTGTAATAATTTTAATTCTCCTTGAATTTCATTTTCTTTTAATTCTTTTTTCTATTGTTTTAGTTGTTTTAACTCTTTTATTTCTTGTTTTATTTGTTTTATCTCCTACTGTAATTCTTTTGTTCCTACTGGAGTAACATTTTCTATTGAAAAATCTTTTTCTATGACATTTATTATATTTTTATTTTTTTTAGATTTAACATTTCTCATTTTTTATGTATTTTTGTTTGCTTTATTTTTATCTCTTATATTTTATTTTCCCAAGTTAATTGTTTTTACTTGTTCTGCAAACGTAGCTTCCTATTTAAATATTGACTTCATGGGATCTATTTTCTATTAAAGAGGCTTTATTTACTTATTTATTTTCTAATTTATTTTCTATTCTATCTAATTATTGTATGTAAAGATATATTTGTATAGTTATTTTGCTATACAATTTTTTGTAATTCTTTATTTTCTTGAGGATTTATTATCTTTAAAGGTGATGCTATTATTCCATTTTCTCCTATATTAGTTGTTATTTCTTCCAATGACGGGTGTGTTGCTGTAACATATATATTATTTCTACGCATTCAGTTTCGAGTCCTGGCTGTGATAACATTTATCGAAGGGTGATTATTTTCTGTAAAAAGATTAAATATTTCATTATTATAAGTATATATTTCTAAATTTTTTTCTCTTTCTCATATTTCTAAATTTTTTTCTCTTTCTTCTTTTGGAAAGTATTTAAAAAATTAATTTCTTTTATCTCTATTTTTTTTCGTAACATAAATTCTTTTCTTAATATTTCTTTGTTTAATTCAAAATCTTCTCTTTTTATAGCCATTAAAGAATTTCTTATAGATTGATAATCTGTAGATGGTTGAAATTTTCTAATTATTTCTGATTGTGTCTCTAATTTTATATTTTTTTTTCAGAATTTTCATCTTTAATTCTGGATGGTTCTGATTGATATATTGGTTGTGGAATTTTGGGATTAAAACCTAATCCCATTAATTTATATCTTATACTATAATTGTTTGTAGATTGTCATGGAATTACTATAGCTATTTGATCTCTTATTCTGCAGGAGGTTGACCTACTTAGTATTCCATAGGTCATGTCTCCTTCAAAAGTTTTTATTATTTCTTTCAATTTTTCTCATTCCAGTGAGGTTGGTTTTGCTAGTTTTAGAAAGGTCTAACTAGTGGGTAATTAAATTTTAATATGTCTAATTTTTTTTTTTTGTATTATGACTGAAGTTTTGGAGTGATCTCTTATTTCTATTAGCATTGATTCTCCTTTAAGAGTTTCTTTTATGGCTTTAAAGTTTTGATGTGTTTTCTGAATTTTAAACATAATCTTGTATTGTGAAACCATATATGTGACTCCTTTTTTCCAAGAGTCTTGGCTACCTATTTCTATAACTAAGACTTCTCTACAATTTTTGTCTTTTAATCCTGTAATATAATTTGAGAAACAATCAAAATAAATTGGTCATTCAAATAAATTTGATTGTATTATTCCTACGGGAGATTTTTGAAAATCTTTTTTCTTTTACCTCTTTAGCATATAAATATGGGTTCATCTAAATCTAACCTAAAATTAAGCTTTACTATAAACTGTATTCTTCCTATAAGTATCCAATTATATTTTTCTTTATATTTAATTACTATTTCTTTTGAGATTATATAAATAGATTGTTTTTCTTTCTTTATTCCTATTTCTATAGTTTGAGTTACATAAGAAAAATCAAAAGATGTTTTCTTACAAACTTATACTTCCTTAAAAGTTGGCATTGATCAATTTGTTAATATGTTTTATAAATTGACTGTTGTTATTTTGTTTCTTCATAAATTTGACTATCTCTAATTTCTTCTTTAAGTGCACTATTCATATTTGATTGTAAGCTAAGACTTTTTGAACTCATTTTATTTTCCTTTCTGGATTGATTTAGATCTTAGAATCTTACTAAACTAGCTCATTTATCTATTTCTATATGTTTTATTTTCTATTATTCTTTTTCTTTCTAAGCTTAACGGAAACACCACTACTCAATCTAACGGATTTATACATTGTTGAGTTCGGACTCATAGACTTACCAACGTTTTCACTAGAAAAAATTTAAATATCATAAAATAAAAATAGTTTAAACAGATCAACCAGTAAATGCAAAATCAATGAGGCTTTGATACCAAAACAAGAAGCAAATCAAATCAGAGTATATAAAAGTTAAAACAAATAATAAATATGAACATATGACTTTTATATATATTAAACAAGGTGTAGGTATAGAGCACTTACAATGATGGCTAGGAAAGAGTGAAAGCTGAAGAGGAAAGGGGAATATTATAAGTGGAGAGATTTACAAGGAGGGAGAGAGAGAGTCAAAAAAATTCAATATCTGTAAAGCCAATAGTCTTCTTATTTTATAGAAGGTCGAAAAGATCATGGTTGAGTTTTCTCTTTTGGTTAACCTTGATTATTTTTTCTCTTTCTTTGAATGATTGAATTTTTTTTGACAAGATTCCATTCTTGTCTCTGCTTTTTATTTTTCTTCCACTCGTGTTTACTTTTTCTTTCTCTTTCTTGTTTTTGTCACGTATTTCTCTCACTCTCTCACACACACAAGCATATATGTAAAACAACCAAATATAAGAGATGAAAACCAGCAAACATGAAAATAGGAAGAAATATTTATTCACCAATCTCCAATTTCAACGAACTCCTTTTTCCTTATCTGAGGATCTCTTCCCACGCGCCACCCTCGAAGGTTTTTTGGAGGCAAAAGTATGAATTTCCCGCCTGCTGGAGGGAGGAGAACAGGAAACCAAACTAAATTTGGAGCTGACGGATCAGATTGCCAGATTTTGTTTTATAAGCAAAACAGCGTAAGGAGGCAGTAGAAGAAAATGTTCGCGGAGAGAATTTCATCAAAACGTGGAGAAAAAAGTTTAAATTCTTGCTAAAAAAACCTATCCATATTTTTAGGTTTAAAAAAAAAAAAAAAGCATCTGCATTTGATGCCAACCACATTTAATAAAAAAAAATTACTTGTAAATAATAACAAATGTGAATCGTTTAAAATTTGACAGATAGAGAGTGAAGAATAACATGAAAACAACCCAATTCCATGTCACACCTAGCAAAGATTCATGTACTCAAATCATTTCATTAATCAAATTTCTTGAATGGTGATGTTTGATAACAGAGTGTCAACTGTCAAGATATTGCGCGGAGGCAGTTACTTCTATCTATCAATGCCCTTCGCCATTAAGAAACAAACACAACTACGGTGATGAATTTCCAGGCAAATTTACAAAGAATACATCTTTCACACAAAAACACCATTGCTTTTGCCCCACCCCTGACCCCTGGTTCAACTGAGTGATTGAATCAAATTACAACTTCCCTTCCCTAAATTAGTCAATCCTCCAAGAGAATACACAAAGCTGGGGTAGACTTCACACATCATCCATGTGATGATCGTTGTCATTGTCACCTTCATAATATTCATCATCACGCTGGATTTGCTTGTCTTGAGTGTGCTCTGAAATGAGAGAATCGTCAATTACGTTTAAAAAAAAAAAAAAAAAGTCTACAACCTAAAATGGTTCAGTGCAACGAAAGGAAAAAAGAATGTGAATGTCCAGAAGTGATATGTTAATGCACGAAAATGGGCAATAGAAGCAGAATTTTCTTTACTTACGATCAATGCGCTCATCAGGGTTTTGCTCATCTTCATCGTAATCAGGAATGTAGAAGTCCGGAGGGACCTGTGACCCGCAATGCGTTGGTCAATTTTTGATGGAAAAACTTACAAATTATGCATTCTCATTTATCAACTTACGGGTTAAAGTTGGTTCTTTATCACGATATTAATAATTAATAAATACATTAAATTCAAAATGTGCGTAATCAGACTTCAAGTGCTCGCAATATATTCTCTGCTCTCCCATATCAAATCATTTTCTATTTATAACAAGCTAAATGGCACCTCAAACACCCTGCCATGATCGAAAACGAGTAGTATCAGTATGTTTAGAAAAGCCAAGATATGACCCACAACCATAATAACAGTTTCATTCCATAGAAGTTGCGGGTACTGGGAGCATTTCTAGTTCAGGAACACACTCACCTCCTGCATTTGCACACTAGGAGCATGTTGGATGTAACGGAGATTTTCCAAGACTTGCATTTTGATGGTGCTAAGATATGATTTACTATTTAAATTCTCCTGATCAATTTAAAATAAGAAAAGTGGTAAGAGGCCTGGCATGTATTGTATATTTGTATAGACATTTCATGGCACAGTACAAGGTTCAGACTAAATCATAGTAACGTGTATTTGGTCATATCAAGATTAATTGGAACTGCCAACTCTAACGGATCATGGCCTTTCAATCAAATTATATAATAGAGAAGATCCAGACATAAACTAGAAGTCAACATTACACAAGATAATTGACAAAGTACATACTATGTGCCCATTTGGAATCTTCAAGGAAAATTCTGGAGCAAAATATTTGATGTAATCATTCTCAGGGATCTCTGCAAGACAGATCAAACAGGCATACAATGTTAATCTCTTGAAACACAGAAGGATCAAACAAAATTTAAGGCCAAATTGCACATTACGCTTCAATTTAGTCATTGCCAATTAACCCAAACAAATTTAAAACATTTGGCAAATAACAAATTTATGACTCATAACTAGAACATTTTAGGAAAACTACGAGAAATTTTACCAAACTGTATTTTAGATTCTACTTGACTATTAAATCAATAGATCTTTTCTCATTTTCCCCTCCCTTTTTCATTACATGATAAATGGTGATCGGGAGGATCATTGAACTTGTTGAAAGTTCAAGTGGCTTAATTGCCAACATTGAAATCGCAAGGGACATTTGCGATAGAAGGAAATTTGAAGAGGGTTATCTTAGAACTTTTTTTTAAAGCCTTGGCATTTTATGTCAGCTTTCTTTAAATTGCCAGTTCTATTTATTACAGAAGAGATGCATGCAATAAGAAAAGTTTGCAGTCTTGTAGATTGCATTTTCTGCATAAACCTGCAAACACAAGAAAGCAAATTTAGTGCACGGATACGATTCCATAGGAAACTGTCCATATCCACCTTCCAATTGGTAGGAAGAAGGAAAGGGGAAAACTGACTAGGACCTAGGAGCAGAGGGAGCTTTTTGATAATAAAGTCATTTCACATCAACCATGCTTTAAAGGTCAATGCTAACTAAAGCTCGCTTAATGTACCATTTGGAAGCTCTGTATCTAGAAGAACTCCAGTTTCAACAGTCCAACACCGAGCTACATTCTCTTTTGTGTATCCCCCGCCTCCAGTGACCTGTCATAGAATATTTAAGTAAATCTGATACTTCACAGGCGAATAAAGGCCAAGGATAAGGTTATATAAACCTACCAGCAAGGGCAAATTGAACTTCCTTACAAATTTAACACATTCAGCATGACCTATTAAAAAAAACCAAAAGATAATCTTCAAATAAAGCTGAACCATCACTAATAAAAGTTGGGTAACGATTATGAAAGAGAGGGAACATATTACACACACACACACACACACACTTTAAATCAGTACAAGAGATATACTAGGAGATAAGCACCATCAATGGAAAGATTGAAGCAACCCAGACGGTCTCCAGCAAGTGAATCTGCCCCACATTGGAGAACTATCACACCAGGTTGATATATTTCGACAACCTTAGAAATAATCTACATAAAATTTTAAACAGAAAGGTTCACACTAGGCAGCATCAACCCAAAAGATAACTATGATATTAGGTGGCTCCAGAGTCAAACTTACAGTCTTAAAAAGCCGATTGAAGCTAGGATCATCTATTCCGTCTTTAAGGGGGACATTAATGGCATAAAACTTGCCCTCTTTTTCTCCTATTTCCTTCAATGCAGTAAAATCCGTTTATATCATTCCAATCTATAGAGTAGTAGGAATGATTCAAAGAATGAAGAAAAATTCAACTATATCAATTAATAATAAGATCCAGACAGTACTGACATGTTACACCAGACTACCAAAAGTCTAGAAACAGGAAAGTAAAAGAAATCACCTTGACATCACCAGTTCCTGGAAAGAACATGTCTCCATACTTGTGAAAACTAACAGTCATCACCCTGTCATGGCAAACTTTACCGTTTAAAGCAATTGAGAAGTCCATGAGACGTATGGTATGGCAAAATTATCTTATCAGCATCCATCAGAAAAGAAGTTCCATCTACTGACTTAAAAACATTTCATTTCTGATATGACAAGCATAGCCTACAATTGAAAAGCTGGAACCAAGGTAATATAAAAATTCAATATGATTAAACCATGTTAGAACGATCTATTTGGCACCACAATTTGATTTACAGTAAACTCAGTAAGGAAAACGTTGTTACATACCTACAGTCTACAAATAAGCAAAGTGTATTATGATATTAAAACTTCCCTAGCTATAATTTGTATCACGATACCAAAACAGCAGCTAAGTGGCAAAACTTAGTGACTTCCTAGAACTTCAACCGTTGAATATTTTAGAGGGAAAGGATTCCTGCCTATTTTAAGAGTAAGGGAACTTAGTTGCTTAATGCCGATGTTGTCTTTACAATTAGAACATCAGTGAATACAATCATATTGAAAATTTTATAACTCTCATACAGCTCCAGACTATACAGGAAATTTTTACCTATCAGTGAAGTAGAAGGCTTCTTCTACTCCATCACCATGGTGGACATCTATATCAATATATAAAACACGAGCATGATATTTAAGAAGCTCCAAGATTCCTAAAACCAAGTCATTGATGTAACAAAATCCAGATGCCTCGCATTTCTTGGCATGGTGCAGTCCACCAGCCCAATTTATAGCAATGTCACAGAGTTGATTGTTTAATCGACGTGCAGCATCTGGAGGTGGATATTAGTCAGTATGTATGACAAATTGACAACAAGGCATGACCAAACTGTAAGAGAATCCCATCACAGACAAATTACCTATGGTTCCACCGGCATAGATTTGACAAATTCAAATAAGTTGTCAAATACAGGGCAGTCTTCTCCAAGATTATCTGGCAGAGATGAAAACAATACAGAGGAACTTTAACAAAGCATGAAATTGAAGTTACACAGCACAAAACTCACTTTTCGTGCATTCCCTGGTGTTCCTTCTCCCTCTCTAAATTATATTTCTCTTTCTGATGTAAAGAAAATGTGCATGGCAAGAAAACTTTCAACGTTTCTTACTTAACAGATAATTAAATTTTTAAAGCATATATCAACAAGAGTCATTCAAAAGAGAAAGATGGGAATACATTTTGCCAATTCATTCGAGAACAGGTGCTGAGTGTCAGGTGTAATCCTGTGCAAAAACTCAACATAATCAGCTGAATGAAACTGGGCAAGCTCAACAGGATAAGCCTTGTGCGGACGCTGCATCACGCAAAATAAATTAACAAGAATAAAATTATTGGTGTGATGACGGGCTAAATTGGATAAAGCACAAACATGAGGGGAAAGAAAAATGTAATGCCAATTAATATGACTAACATAAATTTCCATCTTCTTATGAAGCTCGTATGAGAGGACAAGATGATGGGTCATGCAAAGACGGTGAGGCTTCATTGGATGGTTTGGCCCAAAGTAAACGCTTCCCACGTCACCTGGAATATCAAGTTTCATGCAAGTATTCCAGATCAAAACATACACAGGAACGTGGTATAGTAAGTATGGGCAACAATGCATACACAACTCATCACAGAATGTCAGCACTAGTAATGTTAAATTCATCACTGTATGCAATCAAATTGAGTACTAGTGATATGAAACATACACAACTCTGAAATTCCCCAAGTTTAAAATACAGAAAAATAAATTTGCCAAGGCAAACTGTATTAGATGTTTATCTGAGTAAACATTTACATATATGCTCTATATAATTCCATATTAACCGTTCTCTTGTCCAATGATAATATTTTTCCAGAAAATAAACCAATACAAGAACCACGATATTAGAATTAGGGTTTCAATAAGCATAAATGAGCTGAACTGGGGCTAGAAAATCATATAATCGAGAGGAACAAGAAGTTGAGCGACTTCGACTCCTAGAGATATAATTCAGCGGAAAATTGATTGTTTATTATTTATGGGTGTTATGAGTATAGAACCAACGAAGCAAAGAGAAATACGCACCATCGTAGAAGTAAGAGATCCTGTCCTTGGAGCGCATTGTCACCAAAAGTGTACAAGTTATTGCAGGGATATCGAAGAAGCATACGTCTATGATACCGGCAACGCCATGGCCGGTCACCTCAGAACTGTGCTGCCCCAAGTCCACACCGTTATCGTCTGCTGGTAATTCGCTGATTTCAATTCCGCAGTGCCACAGCGACGATCTTGCAAGTTGCGGGGAAAGAAAGAAGAAAGAAGAAAGAAGAAAGAAGAGAAAGAAAAGAAAAGAGATTGGGGAAATGACAGTTAGGGACCCTAATGACAATAAGGACAACAGAGACATTAAATTATTGAAATAAAAGCTCAAAGTCTTTATTTATAATCGCATAGATGTAAATACCCAGTTAAAAAATACTCCTTCCGTCTTACACTATGAAACATTTTTTAAAAAAATTTTTATCTCAAAATATAAAATATTTTAAATAAATTAAAATTTATTAAGTGTATCAATTTTAATATCATCATTTTTTTTTATAATTAAGTTTTATCTTTTTTTAATATATCAAATTATGAATATTTTTAAAAGTTTATATTTTTATTTTAAAAAGATAAAGTTATTAAATATATTAATGAGATTTATTGATATAAAAAATTAATCTAAAAGTGTTTTAAAATTTAAAACGAACAAAATATATTAATTATTTAAGATCATTTGTAATATTAATTAAGAATTACAAAATTTAGTAGGGTATCATTTTTTACAGTAAATATATAAATAAATCATTTAAAAATTAAGTAAATATATTAAAATTATTTATAATATTAGTTAGGATATATAAAAGTAAGTTGTGAATTGTAAGCCAATTATTTATGATTTTTTACTCTCAATATATAGATAAATTATCTAAAAAATTTACTAAATACACTTAAATTTATTTATAATGTTCATTAAGAATTTAAAAAAATCAATGATAAATGCAAACCAATTACTTATTATTTTTTATTATGTTTAAAAAATTAATAAAAAATAATTTAAAATTTTATAACATCAGCTAAAAATTTATTAAAATTTATTATAAATCTTAAGTCAATCAATAAAATATAATTATTATAAATAAAGATTATGACATGTTATTAAGATTTTAATAATTTAATGTTTGTAATTATTTTTAATATTTTTATAAGGTTTTTAATTGTTATTGTTTCGAAGAAATAAGGGATTGGCTCGATTTCTCTCTCTCTCGTTTGGGGCGGAGGAGGGACGCAGCGTCGTTTGCAGTACAAACGGGGCCTGGGCCAGTTGCTTCGTTTTCACAAATGCGCATTTTAATTATTTGGTATTGTAAAAACTAAAGAAAAATTTAGATTTTATTTAAATTTCTTGAGTATAGCATAGAGAGTTAGAGACGTTCAAAAAAAAAATTTAAGAGAAGCCAATGACCAACACATGTATTTATGTATTTAAATATAATATAATGTTTAAATTAATGATAATAAAAATAAATATAATTTAGCATAAATATTTTAAAAAAGTGTGGTGACAACGGCATAACACTTGGAATTAGTTTTTCTGTTCATTCTTAGGATAAAATTTGGACCATCCATATTTTATTGGGATAGTCCAAATCTTATCTCAAGGATGAGCATAAGGTGCTCATCTTAAAATGAGAATGGAAATCTATTCCCATAACATCTTGGGTATTACTATTGACCACTAAGTCATGCTTCATCTCATTGCTTACAACCTTTACCATTTAGATTTTGTATTCATATTTACTTTTCATTTACTAGTTAATATTCTACTTAGTTTTCTAGCTATAATTATTTGCACCAATTATTTAAAAATCAAACTGAATCAGACAGTTATATTAGCCAAACCGTCAGTCAGTCTAGCTAACGACTTGATCAAGTTGAAAAAATCGTTTGGGGAGCTAGATTAGATCAAGCCACTTTGGATCATCAATCAAATCAAAAATTGAGAATAAACTGAGGAATTGAATTCAGTTTTTAAAAATTGAATTGTTAAAAAAATACCCTTTTTCTTTTTATTTTTTTATCAAGTTTTTTTAGAAAATAATTAATTTTTTTTTATTTAATATTATGTTATATCATGTAACTTATTAAGTCATGATAAATTTAAAATATTTAATTTTATTTTTAAGTCAAGTGGTAATTTTATATTTAGATTATTATATACATATAAAATATTTATTTTAATGTATGTTACCATTCAATCATTAATTTAACCGATTGAATTATATGAATTATAAGTTATTAGCCTTTTCAATTTAATATTCGGTTGGATTCTAAAAATATTAATTTACACATTAATTTGTTTCCCACATCCCCATATGAGCCGCTCCCTCATCCCGAAACACATTGCCCTTTATCCTCTCTTCGATAGCTGAGGAAGTTACTTGAAATAATTCAGAGATAAGTTAAGATTTCATTTAAAGAAAGTTATTCTTGTTTTGCTTAGAATTATTTTGTCTAGGTCTGGGGGTATACTAATCCATTTTTTGTATACACTCTCTAATCCTTCAGTAACATGTAATTTCTACGGTCCTTCATATAAATATTGACTTCTAGAGATCCTTCAATATAACTTGCTCGTTTTATAATCTCCGTCCAGTGAACGATTCTGAACAAGTAAAAAACCGTCCTTCTCCATTTTCTCCTCCCAAATCGACAGCACAACAGGTGTTCAGAGAAGTCCGTTGCCTCCATTAATTCAAGTAAGCTTCTTTTCGTGTTTGTCGCTGCAGTGCCTGAGCTCCATTAATATGCAGTTTCCGGATCTCTTCACTCTTGTTTTTCATTTTTTCCTGTTAACCAAGAAAAATATCTCATGTCTTGTCTTCCATCGGTGATCCGGCCATATCGTCAGCCACTTTAAGTTCTGATTTTCATCGATTTCATTTTCTTGATATCGTCAGCTCAATTCTGTTGTTTAATTTGCCTAATTTTTCGAAGCTGACCTTCCCTGGGATCGATCATGGTCTATTCTTCTGGGCATTATGAATTGGCCGTACGTGCATCTTTTGCGTAAACCTGATTATTTATGATGCCAAGATTAACACACACATTCATACAAAATTTTGCAATTCATAATGGCTCATATGACATATATTCTATGCACTGAAAAGCAGTAAATTAATTTTTAATGGAAGATTTAATTTACGCAAATTATGGTTGGATAAGATTTGGGATTTCTTGGTTAATTTGGACATATATTTCTATCTCTCTCTTTTATGTGTACACTCCATTCAGACTGAGTTTTGCAAGAGTCCAGGCTTTAATTCTTTTCTAAGCGTGGTTGTCTTTGTCAGTACTCACCTTACTGTGGTACAAATTTGATTGCATGTTTCATTTCCATGCCATGTTTTCTCTGTGCTCTGAGTTTTTCACCGTTATTAATGGTGATGCGATGCAGGATGTCAGAATTACCCTTCAGACCAAGAGAGAAGCTTATTGAGAAGCAAAAATATTTCCAGGGTATCCATAAATACACACACCTGAAAGCACCAAATGATAAGATCACATCTGTGGCAATACCACTTGCCTTGGCAGCTTCTTCAATCTTCCTGATTGTGAGTTATCTCTGTTTGAAATCGTAGTTCATCGCCTGGTCTTCATAGTTCTTTTGTCAAATTAAATCCAGCTCATCTTGGAAGTTAGAAATATATCTTGCTTATATATATTGTTATGTGTCATGATACGCTTCTGTTTATTCAGGGAAGAGGGATCTATAATATGTCCCATGGAATAGGGAAGAAAGAATGACGTGGCAGTTCTTTTGAGCGAGATGAAACCTACTCGGATCGGTTTTGTATGTTTGTTTCCATTAATAAATTTGCTCAGTAGTTGCAAAACTTTATGGTCGCTGGTGGAAGTTGAAGTTGAGAGCTTTAAGGAAATTTGTTATTTCCTCCAATTTGCTTTGATGTATGCAATTTATTTTAAAAATTACTCAGTTTTGAAGGAAATTCTAGGTGTCCATGGTCACTTGCAAAACTGTGGTTAGACATTATCACAAATTCAAATCTCAGATAGGACAATTTCTCTTGGTTACCATATACCAGCATACAGATAGTCAACTGAGATTTGTGATCAAACTTGGTGGCATATATATTATTGGCCACGGATTCCATTGCTGTTTTTTTTATTTTTTTTCCCTCTCACAAGTTACCAAAAGGAAGTCGCACGGACAGGAGAGGGAAAGAAGAGAATCAAGAGGGATAAAGAGGAAGGAACAAAAGAGGAAAAAAAGTTTTAAAAATTGAACCAATCATTTAATCTGTTTCAAAGGTTAATAATCAAAATTATAGTCAAATTATGGTTAAACTAGTTATCAACAAAGTATTTTATTAAATCAGTTATGACACTAGTTTAATGGTTCAACTAGTTAGAATGATTCAATTTTCAATTTATATTGTTGGCTTTTGAATTAGACAAAAAATGAGATTGCTTGAAAAGACTAGAATGTCCATCAATGGAAGCTAGAGGCAGAGGGCAATAATGGTCAACAGCAAACAATGGCAATGACAGACAATGCTGGAAGTAAGGTACTTAAAATCAAATTAATCATTGAATTGATCAAATTACATTAATTCGAAGATCAATAGTTGACATTTTAATTGAATCGTGGTTGGACCAAACATAAATAAAACATTTTATTGAACTAATTAATAATTCATCAATTTAACAAGCGGAGTTAACCTAATTTTAATACTATATGTGCTGGTGGGTGCAAATTAATGGTAGCTGAAGTTCAAGGGCCGGAGAAGCGAAAAGAAAAAAGAGAAGGGCACTTTAATATCTTTTAGTAAAGATTGTATTTGTGTTGCTATATGTTATCATAACTTTGAATGTAAAGAGGATTATAAAATTTGAAGCAATGGAGTTAATTTTATAATGTAAGGCCGATCATCACGTAAAAATGCAGCCAAATGCATTCAGCGTTGGTATATATAATTACTCATTTCAACAGTGATTAAATTCTTGATGAGAGATATGCCTCTCAAATAGAGGTGCTTGCAAATTGCCGACTGAATTAATATGGACCAAAGACTCTTGAGATACCAGAATGAACGAAAAAATTGCATTAATTCTCGATCCATCCAAACAAACAGGTCTTTGTGTTTACATGTTGTTACAATAAGTGGTGGGCTCGACACAAGATATATATACACCATGTTGATGGAACATCACTTCGCCGTTTCATCGACACGTTATTCACGTTTGGCAACCTTTTAAAACTGATAATAAATAACCATTCTGTGTCGTTGCCTCTTGCGAGTTCCCAGGTATTCAATGAACTCCACCTATTATAATATATATATATATATATAGATTTACAATAAAATGCAATTATGCTTTTTATTAACTTGAAGTGGGATTTTAATAGAATGTGGGTGTCTCGTGTGGTGGAACTAAGAATACAAGTAAGCCTGACCCTCCTTATAGGCTTAACCTTTAAGGACCTGAGTCCTAAAGCTTGATTTTTTATTTTGAGCTCTATTTTTAAGCTTGGCCCATATGTAAAGGGCTCAGGACTGAGCCTGCAAGCCCTTTTAAAAAATAAAAAAATTAAAATTAAATTAAAAATTAATTAAAATATTATGAAATTAAAAAAAATCAAGATCCTCATAATTTTTTAGAAATTAAACAACACACATTTAGAGGTTTAGTAATAAAATTTAAATCTTAGTTGAAACATAATTTATTTTTTATAAATTCACAAACATAATAATTATAGAAAAATAAAAAATGTCAAAAAATTTATATTATACCTTGATATTATTAAATTTATATTAAATTAATTTTAGAATAAATTAAAATTAATAATAATATAATGCGTGTAGGATCAGATGAGTAGATCATTGGTTTCAAACACATATACACCAAAAATAATAATAATAATAATAATAATAAAATAATAATAATAATAATAATAATAATAATAATAATAATAATATAACAGGGTTTGAAAGGCCGCCCGAGTCCGAGTCTTTTTTTAGAGGACTTATCAAGGCCAAGCTCTCATGCCTGATTACTTTAAAAAATTTATTTTTAAAGCTCAAACTTTTATTTAAACAGGGCCTCCAGGCTCGGCCCTTATTCTCAACTCTATCGTGTGGGCTAGTGATCATGTCTAATATTTTGAGTGGTGTAAAATAATATATTTGTTATACATGATTTGATTTTGTTGAGCTCATATATACTCTCAATTGCAATCAATTCAAATTAATAATGATTCCGAGCGAGAATTTAAAAAGAAAAATGGTGTGGTCGCATTAATTAATTGGTTGGATTTGTAAAAATTTGCCAAGGATGGGAAAGAACATATGTAAAGGGCTCAGGACTGAGCCTGCAAGCCCTTTTTAAAAAATAAAAAAATTAAAATTAAATTAAAAATTAATTAAAATATTATGAAATTAAAAAAAATCAAGATCCTCATAATTTTTTAGAAATTAAACAATACACATTTAGAGGTTTAGTAATAAAATTTAAATCTTAGTTGAAACATAATTTATTTTTTATAAATTCACAAACATAATAATTATAGAAAAATAACAAATGTCAAAAAATTTATATATACCTTGATATTTATTAAATTATATTAAATTAATTTTAGAATAAATTAAAATTATAATAATATAATGCGTGAGGATCAGGCTGAGAGTAGATCATGGTTTCCAACACATATTACACCAAATATCATAATAATAATAATAATAATAATAATAATACTAATAATAATATATAATACTATAACAGGGTTTGAAAGGCCGCCCGAGTCCGAGTCTTTTTTTAGAGGACTTAAAGGCCAAGCTCTCATGCTGATTACTTTAAAAAAATTTATTTTTTAAAGCTCAAACTTTTTATTTAAACAGGGCCTCCAGGCTCGGCCCTTATTCTCAACTCTATCGTGTGGGCTAGTGATCATGTCTAATATTTTGAGTGGTTGTAAAATAATATATTTTTAAATGATTTGATTTGTTGTTGAGCTCATATATACTCTCAATTGCAATCAATTCAAATTAATAATGATTCCGAGCGAGAATTTAAAAGAAAAATTGTTTGTGTTCGCGTTAATTAATTGGTTGGATTTGTAAAAATTTGCCAAGAATGGGAAAGAACATATATCCCTCGGGCTTGCAGTGTGAAAATATTGACTCTAAATTAGTTATTCTAAATTGAAAACAGTCCAGTGCATTTCGCAAAAACACACCCTATTGCAGTGTGAAAGATGGTCTCACGTGCCTTAACGGCGGTCATTATAGTACGAGAATGAAGCTTTTATATGTAAGTAACACGGTTTACTGTTAACTTTATTTTATTACACTATGATACCAGTTTCATACACATCCCCGTTCTTTGTGTGTGTATCATATGGTCAAAGGTTTATACATGTTTTTTAGATCAAAAAAATTATCCTGGTTAATTCATTAAGTTTGTGGTCCTTACCCCTATCTTGTCAGTCTATAGCATTTGCCCTTGTTTTCCACTGAATAAATGACTATCTAGATGCATTCAAGCATGCAAATGTAGCTCGTCCTTCTTCTCACTACCATGTGGCTCTGGTTAATTAGTATCCATACGCGGCCTAGATATGATTTTTTTTCCCCCAATCATGAAATTGACTGTCGCAGATCCTTCTCTCTCTGTGTGTGTATATATCCCTGCCTCTTCTACGGTTCTACCGAACTAGCTGCCATTGAAAATTTAATACAACGCTCCTTTTTGACTTCTCGTTAATTGGTCTTCCGATCGTCATGGATTTTGAAAATGATCATGTCCAAGCTCAGCACAAAACCCTAGTTCTCCTACGTCGCAAATTGCATCTCGCAAAAGAAAGCGGGGAGAAAGAAGTTTCAGGAGACTCGACACCCGCTGTTTCGTGGTGTCCGGAGACGCAACGGCGACCGCTGGGTTTGTGAAGTCCGGGAACCGAACAAGAAGTCCAGGATTTGGCTGGGCACTTACCGTGATCAGAAATGGCGGCTAGGGCACATGAGTGGCTGCCCTAGCTCTCCGAGGCAGCTCGGCGACACTGAATTTCCCCAATCTGGCTCAGCTTCTTCGGCTGCCACCTCATCCTCGGCCCCAAGACATCAGAACGGCTGCGGCTGAAGCCGCCCTACGCTTCAAACCACCCGCCTCTTCTTCCTTAAGGTCGTCCCCCTCCCCAAACGATTCCCAGCAGAGGATGAAGAAAAGAGCAATGACAAGTTGTTCTTCGATGAGGAGGCATTGTATAATATGCCGAGTCTGTTAGATCATATGGCTGAGGGTTTGCTTCTCAGCCCTCCCTCTATGTTGCAGGCAAGGCCTTGGGTTTAGCTTTGGACGATGACTTACTTGTCAAATAGGACTGACCTTATGGCCAGACGACTAAAAGGCTCAAAATTTATCATATGCTCTATGTTAAAATAAATAAGATCAGTTACACAATAAGAACAGAAAGAGGTGGGGGGGATTCGAATGCCTCTTGTACTGTCATGGTTAATTTTTTGGTTATTTGCCAGTAGCAGTTACAGTCCGAGAGTTGCACGTTTTGATTAATCGGGCCAAGGAAAGGTTGTAACTAATATTGCTGTTCATGATGAAAACAAAGATGACTAGGAGTGAGCAACTGATGAGCAAGGCAGTTAGTTGAAAAGTTTTGTCCCGTTATACGTGGAATAAATTAGCTATAATTTTTACTATGCAATTATATATTAAATATCATAAGGCTCTCGTGAATCACGTGACCACTTATTAGTGATTGACATATGAGAGATTGGTGGTCTTGACAACGACGCCTCGCTTCATTTGGAGGTGACTGGCTGTTTCTAGTAATAGCGCAGTGGCCCCTCAGACAAGCAGTAGTAATTACTCGATCGTAATTTATGTCTGGTATGTACGTGTATGTATATATATCCTCTCATTGCGACTACTAATAAAGAATTATATTGATGCATGCATTTGACATGCATTATTTTCGTTAACAAAAGAAAAGAAAGATAACAAGATGCATTATTGCCAAAAAATTAAGGTTGCAGATTAATCTCAATCCAGTAGTCTAATTTTTTTTTTTTTTTGACACTAAACACACACACACACTATGTATCTGTTTGGGTGACCTTCAAAAGTACATACAAATTATATTTGAAATGTGCTTTTGTCAAATTTAATAAACAGTTGGATCATCTGAATATATTTTTGTCAGACATAAACTGAAATCTAAATATCACGTACCAGTACCGCTTACAGACACAACAGCTGGCGTTCCAAAATCATCCTGCTACGCCATTGATCATCATCAGCGTGATCAGCAACTAGGTTTGTTTCTCTGGGAATCCAATATTTCATTTGAATTGGAAATTATTCCATGATTAAAAGGATGTTTTCCACTATTAGATAGGATCTGCATTAACCAGCCGTCACACAAGTTGATTTGAATGATAGCTTATGATTTGAGAGGAGTGTTATCTGACATCGAGATCATTGATCACTGCAACTCTGATAGCTTATAGCTTCCTCCATCGCTCGAGCTTCAGCTTCCAGGGGAGAATTAGCTAGCTTCACAGATCTTGCTATTACCCAAAGCAGCCACCCCGGCTAGTTCGTCTCTTACCTCATATAACTGATTTCTGGATTAGTTAAAAGAGCGCAGTCTGTATTGATTTTAATTTACTATGCTGAATTAATGTAGGTGGAAACCACTTGGCATTAACTTTTCCTGGAGAAGAAGAAGAATCCAGCAGTCTAATTAGTTCTGTGTTTCGTGATGTTTGTTGTGTTCAAGAATCTTGTTTGGTTTTATTTTTAAAAACAGTTTTTTTTTGTTTTTAAAAACAAACAAAATTAGAAATTCATTTAGATAACTCTTTTAATTTAATTGTTTTCAAAACTAATCTTTTTTTTTTGTTTTTAAAAACAAAAAATTGATACATGTTAAAGTTATTTTCATTTCATTTTTTCATTTTCAAAATATGTTGCATTTGATTATTAAAATTATTGTCACATTGACCAGTTATTATTATAAGCCACTGCTATTATCCACCAGTGACTACTACTATTGGCCAATTTTTAATTATAAAACTGATTTTTAAATTAACACAATCAATAGATTTTATTTTATTTTGTTTTCAGTGCGTACAGTTTTAAAAAAGAAAAAGAA